AAAAATAAATACGACAGTTGAATGCCAGCTGAGCTACCAGTAACGGATACGCATCGTTCCGGTAAGCTACTAGCCGGCTACTAGGCAAAAACAAAAATTTAATTACGTTTTACCCTACGAAATAATATCGTAGATGGAGGGGGAGGCTAAAGGGATGGGGAGGGACAAAGAAACTCACAGCAGGAACGCCACTGAGGTCGGCTCCTTGCCATATCAGCAAGTGTATCCAGCCAAACGTGTTCACCGTCTTTTGGACCCCAACCAGGGAGCCGTGAAGCTCCAACTGAGGCCAGCTCCGAAGTGAGGGCCTTCATTCCTCTGGACCAAGTCATCGCTTGGCCACCTCTCCTCTTCTTCCACCCACATCCCCGGTGAGCAGACAACGCACGTCGAGGGAGTCGGTGGGCTGGCATGCGCAACACGTGGCCCAGCCATCGGAGCCTGGTGCGTGAAATAACGGTGCTGAGCGGTTCATTCCCTTTTCCTAGGCCGTAAACAAGGCGTCGAACACGCTCGTTACTCACGCGGTGTTCCCACCAGATGTGAGCCAAACTGCGAAGGCACCGATGGTCAAACGTAAGTAGCCTCTTCATGTCCGCCGATCTTAGGGGCCTGGTTTCGCAACCGTACAGTAAGGTCGAACGTACCGCTGCATTGTACACTCTACCCTTCAGGGCGAGAGTAATGTCGCGCCGTCGCCATAGGTGGCGAAGGTTAGCAAAAGCACTTCGAGCTTTCGCTATGCGGTTCGTGATCTCGTCTTCGATCCCAAGGGCGCTGGTACAACTTCCCAGGTAACTGAATTTCTGAACGACTTCTAGCTGATCCCCACCAAGGGTCAGCGCAGGAGACGATCCCTGAAAACCTTGGAGGAACGCTTTGCACTTCGATAGTGCAAAGCAAAGCCCGAAGCGGCTGACAGCCAGTGCTAATCTGTCCAGCGCGGCTTGGAACGTCTGGGAGCTGTCACAGATGAGGGCAATATCGTCTGCATACTCCAAGTCAAGAAGTCGTTCTCCTGGGAGTAACTCCACACCTTCCAAGTCATGTCCTGTAAATGCAATCTCTATGACTTCGTCAATAGCGAAGTTGAAGAGGAAAGGCGACAGCGGGCATCCTTGTCTCACACCGCTGGAGATATTAAAGGGTGGCGACAGCTTGCCGTAAGCCATCACTCTGCCCGTGCTACGCGCATATAGTGCTTGGATAATATTTACATATTTCTCGGGCACACCTTTCCTGAGTAAACAATTCCAAAGGACACATCGATCAACCGAATCGAAGGCACCTTTGATGTCGAGGAACACGACTACGGTGGGCCGCCAATATGTGTGACGGTGTTCCAACAACTGACGCAAGGTGAAGATGTGGTCGATGCAGCCACGACCACGACGAAACCCGGCTTGCTCCTCACGAATCTGGCTTTCACGAGCGCCAGTCAGTCTGTGGAGAATTATGGAGGCGATGGAGATCAGACTGATTCCTCTATGGTTGCCGCATTCCGAGCGCGAGCCGCCTTTGAAGATGGGAACAATAACGGAGCGGCTCCAGTCGGTTGGGACAGTCTCCTGCTCACACAGTTTCACTAGTAATTCATGCAAAGCATCAACAAGAGCAGAGCCTCCAAATTTGAAGAGGGCTGGAGGAAGATCATCTGGTCCCGCGGCTTTGTTCAACTTCAACAGTCCGATCTCACGTTCGACTTCTGAGCAAGAGGGTGGATCCAAAGGGACAGCCCACGGAGCGGGGCGATCAGTGACCAGCGAATCGAACAATTCTTGCCGATTAAATTGCTTTTCAAAATGCTCAGCCCAACGCTCCAGACGTTTTGACAAATTGTGGATAGGCTGTCCACTCTTATCACAAATTGTTTCACTAACACCAGGTCTCCTGCTGCCCGTTTCCCGTATCAGACGGAATAACTTACGATGGTTGCCAAGGGCAGCGGCCACTTCCATCTCTGACGCTCGATGAGACCACCAAGATTCGCGGTCTCTCTTCAGGCTAGCACGGAGTTTTGCCCGGAGCTCTTTGCGAGTTTCATTGTGCTCGCTTCCAGCCGGGATTTGCCGGCGAGCATCTATAAGTTCCAAAGACTGCGAAGAGACCCAATGTCCATGTTGTCTATTAGACATACCACATGAGGATTTGCCTGCTGCTAGTAAGGTCTGGCGAACATGTGACCAGTGATCATCAATTGTCTCCTGTGAGCGCTTGCTCAACTCGCATGTTAGCGTACTTCGATACGCATTCAGAACAGCTGGTTTTGTCAGTTGGCTGGTGTCAATACGCTCACAGCGTCGTCGTGGACGTCCGCCAAAACGCATCCGCATGTCAGCACATACAAGTGCATGATCGGTGTCCACACATGTGCTCCAAATCGAGCGACAATTCTGGATGCAGCCTCTCCAGCGGTAACTTATCGCAATGTGATCGATCTGCGTCCAAGGCTGGTTCGAGGTTGGTGGGCGCCAAGTCACCCTTCGGCGAGTGCTGTGTCGGAAATTAGTGCTCGCAAGAAATAAGCGAGCATCTTCACACAAATGAAGTAACCGCTCACCGTTATCATTACGGGAGCCTACACCGTGTTGACCGCCCAGATGCAGCTCATCAGTGGACAACTTTCCAACTTGTGCGTTCAGATCCCCAGCCAGCACAACAGTGTCCGTGCTTCTTCTGTGGCGAAGGAGCTGGGTCAGTTGGCGATAGAAGTCGTTCTTTACCGAATCATCGCTACAGTTTGTGGGCGCATAGGCAGCGATGATGAATAGACATCTATTAGTCCCGCGCGACTTCGAAGCTTTAAACGAGCCAGCCAATCGGACCGCACACATCCGGCTACTGATTGGAATCCAATCAACCAGAGCAGCTTCAGCCCGGGGACTTAGGGCAATACCAACACCGGCTTGGCCGGTGCTCGAAGCTGCATCATCACCGGATAGGCGCAAGGAGAAAATACTGCTTGCGTCCCCTGAAGGGGATCGCAGAGTGAGCACAGTGCTCGAGTCTTGCAGGCGAGTCTCTGATAAGCAGCAGATATCGATCGAGAGGGTCTCCAATGTTCGGGCAAGTGCTGCCTGTTGACCGATTTGTAGCAGTGTGCGTACATTGAGGCATGCCAATCTGAAGGAGGATCGATGGCTCCAAATGGAAGCCGATGAACTGGATTGGACCGCTTGGTTGGACATGGGCTTGTCGACAGGAGAGGAGTGACGCTCGCGTTCACGTGTGAGTTGAAATTAGAAGGTAAATGCCTAGCAAAGCATGTTGGGGGAGGGCCAAGAATCGGGGGGTTGAAAACTGGGGGGATATAAGTGAAGTTGGAATGGGACGGTAAGAGTGAAAAAGCGTAAGAGGGGGAATAAGAAGACGGGAAGGCTTGAGCAGTAGCATCCAAACCCCTATCCACCCTGCTCGATGCAGCAGATAGGGCACCGTTTATTATCCTCTGCGGTGGCCAGAGCATCAAGAAATTGTTTGAAGGAAAATTCTTAGTATTGCGTGGGCAGGATACTGTCAGGTTGCCCAGGCCTAGACAGGAGAATGATTAGGGTTCTCAACCAAAGCCTTTGGTTCAAAAACCTGACCGCAAGGCAGCGGGTTTGGCGTTGGGCTACAAGGAGTCCATTTTAAGGAATAAGGTGCCACCCTCATTCCAACCCCCAACCTGGAGGACCAGGAGGCTGAGTTTGTCTGGCCTCTAACCATTGACCAATCTGGTATGAGTGACTCTGAAGGTGCAAAAGCACCACCCAGCGTAGCTCAATGGATCGCTGAGGCACACAAACCATCGCACCACGGTAAGGTCCAGCCTCATTGCGATGGTCTCACAAAGCGGTACTGATTGGCCAAGTGTGGTGCACTGCGATAACCAAACAGCAGGGAGAATGCCGTTGTCAAGACCAAGGTCTAGAGTCTATATAGATGTCTGTTTGGCCTATAAAAACGACCGCTTTCTGCACGAGAAAATTTGGCCAATGGGAGTCTTGAATTATACCTTTCCTGTTAGGAGTTAAACGCCAGGCAGTGAGCAAACAAAGTCAGCATTACAATAGTGCGTGAGAATAAGAATCAAACCCAAACAGGAAACTCCCATGACCGGGATAAGTATCACACAAGCAATGAGATAGGGGAAGATATGGCTCATGAAAAGGAAATAAGGGAAAATCGAAAGAACAAAAGCGATTGACATAAATTCTACGAATGTCATAACAACATATGCGATTTGGTAATAACGCAAAGCGGTTGGTAGTGTAGCCGGTGATCTGACTTTATTGCGAAAGCGATCCGAGCACCTCATTCGACACCTAATTTGTCACGAAGAGTGCTCCACCGCTGGAATAGATGAAAGCGTAGAGGTAGACTGGACCAGTAGTAGCCAACGGTATCTAACGGGTCTCAACTTCATCTCAACCAGTGGTCTAACCATGGAATGAAAGGTATCAGCAGTATGCCGGCACACTGTACACGATGCCTCGCTGCCACGTGAACATCATCAGTCGGTCGTGGGCTAGGTATTACCGCGAGATCACCCTCGCCTACACTGGCCGACCATGGACAATCGTAGCACCCTGAGATAATGAATGTGGAAAAAACAAATACAAAAATAATGCATTGCTAGTTAACCGGTGTGATTCGGATGTCAACAATGGCTAAAAGCGAGCGAGATTGCGCAAAATTCACCCATACAGTGAACTCGCTGTCAAAAATGAAGCAACCAGTTATCGGACATATGGAAAGTCGTTGGGCTGCACAGGATAATTGAGATGGTCTTTATAGCTCTATACACTGAACTGCGTAGCAAGGTTATCCCGATTTCCGCCAACGCATGGAACAACCCGAGGGTTAGATACCAACCCTAGACAGGTGTGTGTACAGCCAAGAGATGAGAGAGAGAGAGAGAGAGTACAAGACAACACAATCGATCAATCAGATTACGGAGGCTAAATCGAGCTAAAAGCAATCGCGGCTCAGGAGACTGTAAATGTATGGGTGACAACCTATTTATAGTGTTCCACTGTGGTACGCATGTTGCAGGTGTAGTGGAAAGCTGAATTCCGGATGAAAATAGGACGCTGTGAGAGCGAGAGAGGGGAGAGGGAATGCGCGGACGCAGACAGACAAAACAGAAGGTGGACACAACACCGTGTGAAACCAATTAGACAATATCTGTGGAATGCATTACCCCAATGCTATTACAAAACATCGATAGGTGTGGAGACTGACCTGAAGCGAGGCAGGTCGAGGAGGGACAGCAGCAACACCTTGACGTCCATAAACGGGACCACTTACAATGGAAAGTGCGCCGGCGGCGCGTAACGAGGCGGCATCCGGATGTTCCATAGAACATTGATTCAATGCATTCGGGGGCAAAGGAATGGGCGAACTCAGTGAACGCTCGTGCGGAGTGATCATGCTGGGTGAAGAGCTGTGTATCGAAGAGAGCAAACCACGGAAGTGATGAGATGAGGGGGCAAGACGAATGATCGACAAAACGGACAGGGAAGAAACAGGAAATTGAAACGCGGATGATAACCAATTCCAAAAACCAGCATATAGGCCTCCGCGACCACAGACACCTGCCAGTTAAGTTGCGAAACAAATCACACATGAAAATGCCGTACAGTGACTAAGTTTGCAAACGTTTCATCACCAAAAGAGGTGATGGTGGAAATAAAGGAAGGTACAGTTGTCATAAAAAGAAAACCGAACACAACCCAGAGGAGCCTGCCGTTTCGTCAGAGAGCAAGATACTACCCGGTTGCGCAAGCGGAGGTAGGGTGTTGACTTAGGAGACACTACTCGGGGGCCTTGGTGGACTAGTCTAGCCGCAAGGCAGTGGGGAAATGGTTTGTAAGGACCATAGCGTCCTCTCCCTGGTTCCATCGCATACAGATGAAGAACATCGTCTCGATTGGAACAAAACAGAGGTCCTAGAACGTGAAGAAACAACAGTTCCTGAAGCATGATACGGTACGAAGTAATCGATAAACATGCACATTGACACTGATCTAGTCTGTCAAACGTTAAAATGGAGAAAACGAAAACGGCTTGAAAAGCGCCGCGGGCAACCAAAGGAGTCATCAACAGCACAAGCTCAACAATCAGGGCGCAGCCGTCTCACGGATCTCCCGTATCTATCAGAGAGCACGGGCAAACGATTGAAAATCACGAGGCATACAGCGAGGAGGTCAATTCAGAAGTCACCTGTTAGTCAAACACAAATTGACGAATAAATTGGCGGACCGCATTCTACCCAATAACGCACTGAGAAAGTCACCCCGTTTAGTGATGAAACGTTTGAACCAATTACGAAGCTGGACGTATGGGTGAAACCAAGAACGATCAACCTAAGTTATCAGCATTTCAAGTCATTATATAACAAAACGACGTAAGCAGGGAGATCGAATGAGAATTCGTACACAAGTCGTCAATAACTCATGGTCAGGTTATAGTGCAAAGGTAATGTGGCCCATTGAAGCACTAAATGCCTCGAGTGTCATCATGAACGTTACCACACAGGTAGCGCAGTACCAGACGTATTTCAAAAAGACAGATTAGTCACCATGCCTCAGACGGAATTGAGTAAAACACATCCAATATGAGAATCGGATGCTTTTAGAGGTGTGACTGAATCAGGTTGGCATCGCGGTACGCCGATAAACAGTACCGACGCTTCACTGCTACGCAACCACTACCAGTCGTGCGTGGGCTAGGGATACCACAAGGGTCATACCGTCCCCTACAGCGACTTTAACTCGCAACCTTCGTATGACACCTTTGGCTACGAACCCCGGAAGCTGTGTTCGAAACTGTGGATCTCTCGTAGGATTAGAGGTTGAGAACGTGCCTAGAATTGGGAAGGTAATGACAAAAACCGTTTAAATTAAAGTGTGGGAGCGAGAACGGTATGGCTCAGATGAAGAGAAAATGGGGTTCGAGGAATGGTCTGCCCTGCCAAGCACTTAGACTGCAAGCAGCTTTCCGAGAGACAAAGTCAAGCAATGAGTAACTGACGGGCATGTACTTTGTTAGAGGACATTGGGATCCGGAATCCGTTATTAGGTTGGTTATCGTCATACCTAAGTGGTTGCAATCAGATAGTCACATTAGGTGACTATCGCTCTCTTCGACGCGCTATCTCTAGTGTAAGCGAGCTCGGTCATTCGCTGTTTCTGCTTTATAGCAATGACATCAGAGGTCTGTAAAACATGGTCCAGCACTTTATTCGGCGATAGTATCATGATCATCAATAAGCTTCGACGTGATGATCTTTAGGAAACGCTGTTTCTCATTCACGATGTCTTGAGGCCACTAGTGAATGGTGAACAACATCTCGGCTAAGAAATCAAGCATTATGTCTTCCGGTCTGTTCCATCCCGGAAGGATCAAGTGTACACAACAATGAATATGTCTCCAAATGCGTGTCCAGGTGTGATCTCCGAATTACGTATTCGTAGACCATCACCTTGTCCAAAAAGCCCCAATATCAAAAAGCGACGCCCAGACAATCCGTGGTTATTATAGGCAACAAAATCCACACAATCTATGCCAGAAGTAAGCAAAAGATACGGCATAAGTTGGAACTGCTCTGGAGTACCTGCAGAAGTCGTTTACTAAACGTATGATTCGTAAGCTCGATCAGTATTTGTCAATCTGGGGCACTTGTGGCGTCTCATTCTTGCTAAAGGGCCGCCTTTACAACGCATCAGTTTGCTCAGCATTGTTGCATGGGCATGAGTCCTGGCCCATTCGCGTGAAAGATATGCGTCATCTTTTTGCCTTCGATAATGGTTGCTTAAGGAGGATTGCTCGTGTTTGGTGGCAACATCGAGTTAATAGTAATGACGTTCGACGTCACATCTTGGGGAATGCCAGTATTCCCTTCAACAAACTGGTTTTGCGGCACCAGTTGAGATGGCTCGGTCACGTCCTACGCATGATACCTGAGCGTCTATCGCGTCGCGCTCTATTCGCTCGTCAAGAACCTGGCTGGAGGCGACTGCGTGGTGGTCAGCCTTCCACTTGGCGGCAGCACATGAAATCGCTGACGTCGTGTCTGACCGCTGTTGGATCCGTACGTCTTCCAGGATGGGGATCCAAAGATGAGGAATGCCAATGGCTTTACACGCTTGAAGAAATGGCCCGCAACCGGAATCAGTGGAAGAATTGTGAATAGTATTGTACTGATTCACATGTTTAATACTACAAACATTGAAAATGGCAAAAAAAGAGAACAATCGGCGTATGAGAAACAAACTAAAAATGTTTTGTTCTACCTTTTGTTAAAAGGTCCCATTCTTCCTGCGGCATAGTAGCTGAAGTGTGTCGCTCATCTGCAACTACTATGCCACGATGAGTAAAACGCGGTGACTTTCCCTTATCTGTTAATCTCCATGTTTTTGTTGGCTCTGTATCATGTTGCTAGACAGCTGAGATTTAAAAAATGCACTATCATATTGAGAGCGTTTCAATAAACCTTAACTAGAACCCTTTGGATTCGACGATTGAAGTATAATTTGTTGCTGTTTTACAATCTGCTACAAAGAAGGAACTAGTCCAATCTGCAGCATAGCACACCTGGAAAGCCTCGCGAGAAATACCATATATTGGCTATATGAAAGGATGGAAGAAGTATGCATTCCAATTTCCATCTGGTCATATAAATCTATCAGTGGAATAAAGGGGCAATCCCGCTAAGGTTATGCGAAAGTGTGGCAAGACTCAGTAACAAACTCTCAAGTCACTTTGATCTGAATGCGACACTGAGCATACAGTCACGAGAAAAATTACTCAATGAACTATTCCAATAGGGCCCAACAGCATCTAACACCTAGGTTTTTGAACCGTGATTTTCGCTACCATTATATCGGTATTATGTGATACATATGCCTCAATATTGGTTGGCGGCATCCGGTTTCGGACTTGCCTGTCATTGTGGCCAGCCACAGGACGCCTGCGCCTACAGAGGCACCATGGGTGGCTTGCGCTACACCACCCACAGCTCCAACCACACACCATATATCCAGTGCAAACCCGAAGGAATGAGACCGGGACGCATGTGGATGGGGGCCACGTTTCATCAACGGAGCCGGCCCACACTCCTTCACAGGTAAACAAAAGCACACTGCATTTGGGAATCAAGCGCACACAAGGCGGTGGCTGGACCGTAGTCCGCTCCACACTGAGTGCATGGAACCGCTCTTCGAGCCTAGCACGACCACAAGGACCGTGCACCACGTCCCTCCAGCAACGACCAACTGTCTCCTGGAGCCAGTATGGACGAGGTAGTGGGTAATAGACAGGTAGGCACCTTGTCAACATGCACATCAAGCACAGCTATTCACTTGAAACGACAAAATGAAATAAAATAAATCCAATAATGCATACAGATACGGTGGCATAACTCTTCGCTAAATTACCATATGAAGTAAATTGGTTAGCAACGAACCCGTGATAAGGAAAAAATGTCCACAAGTTACTTAAAAGTACTACAAACGCAACAAAGTTACCGAAGATAAGCGCAATTAGCGTAAGCAACGTGACCAGCTAATAGAATATTATTCAGATAAGCAAAACAAACCAAATAAAGTGGAGTGAAATTTATGCAGCTTAAAGAGATGTAGTTTAAGTGTAAGTTGGTTTAGCCCAACTGCGGTGAAGAAGCATCAAGAATGCAACATCAGCCTCAGCATGGGGCCTCAATATTACACCTATGCTTATCGCCCGAAAAAGGCATGGTTACTCTTGTACCTATTGATCTGTGATACTATAGACACTTTATCGGATTATGAGAAGTATACATATTATTAGTATCATTATTAGTATGGTTATTATTGTGCGTTCACGACCAAAGTCGATGAAGATCATTGGCCAACGACTATCTAACCAGGATGATTGGGTTAGATTACATAAAACTGCTACTTTCGAAAGCTGTTCGAATGAGCGATTGTTTTTAAAATCAGCAAAGGATGGATGGATGCAATTAAAACAGCTAAAACACTAAAATTACCCAGAGAAACGAAGCTCTCCAACGATCGAATCTCCAAGAGGACCATAAGGACTCCTTGTACGTAAACCCATTTGGATAGGACGAGATGCGATTAGATTGCTACCTGGAAAGTTGGACACCGGAGGAAGATTGGCTATACCGGGCGTGCAGGGAAAAGCACCACCACCGCCGGCCGAAAGCGCTGAAGCCACAGCATTGGTGATAGAGGTCGGTGGAGGAGAGACACCCAAGTCGGACGGATTCAAGCCACACAGCCGAATGGCCGTAATCAGATCCCTCGTGTTCACTCCGCAATGAGATGCGACATTTTTCTCACAGCGTTTGTGTATGTTGAGCCGACACACTTCGCACTGCAATCCCTGTCGCATGATCCCGAACAAGAATGAGCCACAGTGATCACAAAATGCTGGCAGCATGAATGTGTGGATACGAAACTTGTGCGGCACATTGATGTTGAAACGATTCTAGAAAAAAAGTGGGGTGTGGGACAACGAGAAAAACAAACGGAAGATAAAGCCTGGGAAAATGCAAGAACGCTGATGCCAGCATAATGAGTAAGGTGCACACGTAACGACAAAAATACAAATCGCAAAAACTCACAAAAGTAAAAATACCCCGGGGGATCGTCATGTGCAGCGAATAATGCAGTGCTGATCTCCCGAGATTTCTGTTCAGTACAGCTAGTCAAGTATGGGTCACGTGCCGAGGTGGGCTAGATTCGGATGTCTTGACTCATGTCGTCAAAAAAAGAACGTATCACTAACACACAGGTATTCTATTCTGATGTTCTGTAGTGCAGGCCTATCCAGACCCCTAGAGGAATAAGGGCTGGAATTTCGGAGTGAATGGGCAATAAAAACCGTCAGAACAGTCAAGGACCAAAAATAGTTGAAAGAGTGCGGGAGTTCCACTGGCTTCATTGGGGATTCACTATGTTTGATTGGGCATCTACCAACGAGGTTGCAGATCCCAAAGATTTTACCAAGGAAGATGACAAAGAATAAACTAATGTAGCCTCTCGATGTGAGTATCTTCGTACTTAAATAAGGGTTCTTCCCGGAAGCATCCGTTAGATAGATTCCCAAACATCCGGAGAATCGCTAGTCGGTCACTTCGTCTTCTACTGATCAGGAACCAAACCCATGATCCCTCGACAGGAACAGCTAACGCCACTAGCTAGGAATTTACGCCACTTGATGCTTTTTTCTCTTACTCACTGGCTAGTCAACTGGAGTTCTTTTTTATAGAGAAGTTGGACTAAGAAGATGGTCCAGTCGTGGAACGAACCCTTGAATTAACGGGCACAGAATCAGATCGAATGATACGCATGGCGGTGATCCAATCCACGCCACCATGTGTGTGTGTGTGTGTGTGCAACTATGCAGTTCTTGTATATAGTCAGTGGCCAAAGCATCGGGGATATATGCCTATGGTGATCAAGTTGCTATAATTGAGAATGGTAGAAAATTGTACTTTCGTCTGTAAGAAAACTGAGTGTCTTGAGGTACCGATCGACAGAAAGAACAGAGTGAGAGCGATAACATCGCTGAACCCTAGAGACTGCATCGTGCTGGCATATAGTCGCACACATTTCGTTCGCTAACGCTCGACTCCCCCTACTACTCTTTTGTAATTAGTACGCAGACCAAACTGCTTATAATGCCAAAGTTAATTGGCGGCTTAATTTTGGTAAGCTCGTCGCTTGGTGAGGGGGGCTACCCTGTCCTCTGCACGGCAGTAACGTGTAAGCCAATGGATGGTGAGTGGCGATATATCACATCTAGTAACTTATTTACGATGGTCGTTGCCGTGCCCCGTAGCTCAGTGGTCTCAACCACGTACTGGCAACAGTCGAGTTGCGGGTTCGAGCCGTACCAGAGTCCGATGGAATGCGCACTGTTGACGATTTCCGAAAGGATGAAACGCACGTACAGTGCTTTTCCGGGTGTGTGACGGCTGCCTGAGTGAGTCTAGATGGGACGAATTGCTACCTATAACATTCGACTCCCCCTATTACTCTTCTGTAATATTATGGTGATTAATCAGTCCCGTCTGCGGAACACCGAGCTGAACTTCGACGCAGCACAGGGCGTGTAAGACGGAACAACGAAGTGGCATACAGAGAAGGCGATTTTCATATTGAGAAAACTGAAAAATTGTAAACCAAAAGAGAACGGCATAATGCTGGTTAGAGATGAACGGAACAGCAGTGACTTGGAACACGCGAAGGCAGGCTAGATGAGTCGGGGTAGTCGCTGGTCAACCCATGACAATAAAACTGTGGGGAAGCGGCGATTATACCACCGTCCGGATCAAGAGCGAAGTGCAGTTCACTCAGTGTGTAAAACGTGTACATCCAGGGACGGTCTCATAACAACCACTTGGTAGGTGTAAACAGCATTCAACACCCTGGTTACCCATCCCCTACGAGACCTGGATTGGATACAACGACGACTGTCAATCGGAAATGTTCCTCAAGGCTGAAATAACCCAGCTGTGAGCGTTGCCTGGAGCAGGCTCTAATCGAAGTCTACAAATGTGTTTCGAGCATGTCCACAATTTCAGTACACAACAATATCCTAGTTAACGGACACGACACTGTAAGTGAAACTTGTTACCTCAAGGCACACAAGCAAAGAGGCAAACATGAATGAATATTGCAACACGTGGTTTTTGTTACAGAGCACCTCGAAAGGTAAAAGCAGAAAAGATTTAGTAAATCAACTCCCACAAAATGGTGGCAGAAAAGAGGATAAGAGTCCGACAGTCTACTTCAAAGAGAGAACTTTAGTTTTTATTGTTGCATGCTTTTGATATTAGTTGGACACTTGTTGCTAATGATAGCGCTGATATGGTAAAACGTGCAATGGCACCTGGAATCAACGCACTGGTTGAACTGAGGCAGTCTATCGTTTGAATGTCAGCGAGCGGCAGTTAGGAGGAAGTTCTGCGTATGCTAATTTGTGCTATCCAAATTGGCACTACCTTATAGTCAAGACAGTGGAAGATGGTCTGGACTGGAGGTACTTCGTTCGCATCGGCGGCGCAGGTTCGTACCGTACTTCGTCGACGTTGGAAGCAGTCACATCAACAGCTCAAGTGGACTCAGGACAGACCCGAGTAACAACTTGATCCACGAAACTGACTGAATGGCTCGTAAAAATGCTCGGGCCTTCATCCAAGCGGATGCGACAGAAAATGAATCAGTGTATCCAGTGATATAGGAGACAACATTGTGACGTCCCAAATGACTTTGGACCTGTTCGTCTTACGAGACCCCGTCATTCACCGAGGCTCTCGAGCAGTTCTCAGATAACCGACAAGGCGGTTGTTAGGAAACAATTTAGAAACTTCACATAATTTAATTAAGATAATCGGGGCTTCACAAAAATTCATCCCCATTCATATACCTGAAGCAGAGTGGGCAAGCGACCACTAAGGGTTTTGGGCGGATCAATGAAGGTGAATTCGATTCGCACTCGCTCGTTCGACGGTGGAAACTGACTTTGCTGCCCCGCAGATTGCACACACACAGTCTGGAGAAGCAATCATGCTCCAGACTGAACATTTAAATCA